TACGTCTTCGCTATTTTTGAAGGAAAATTAAATAAAGATTGAAAAGCCCATGGTTGAAATAATATTAAATTTTAATTCAGCCATGCAATTAATTATTTACCCATGGAAAAGCCTACCGTCAGTTGGAACCGATCACAATCGGAAATTTGTTTATAAAAATCTTTATATATGGTAGTTAATTTTAAAATGTCAAGCGTTGGAGAAAAAGTTATGTGGTTTTAGTAACTCAGATAAACTTGGCAATAAGAAATTACATTTTTTTTACTGTTTGACATAACCGGGGAATTGACATCAAATCGACAGTTGTCACAGGATCAAGTGCAATGTAAGTCAATCGTATTAATATGAACTGATTGAAAATTAAATTTTCCTATTGAATGGTACTACTCCGGGGAAATCTTCGAGCAATTCTAGTAATAATTGTTTTGGGTAATCTCAAGACATTTTATTTGCGATATAATATGAGCGGCTGTCAATGAAATGCAACGCTTCCTTCATCATCCCATGGTACAGGACCATGTTGGGACGGTGATTTGTCCGAGACGTATAACTTGATAAGGGTTGAGATATAAGAACTTCCAGAGATTTTAGACTCAATATTTCGTGAGATCAAATACCGTAAACCCAAATATTGATGCCAATATTAGTTTTTTCGCTTCCTATGTAGAAAAAATATATATCAATTAAATCGAAACAAAAAACTAAAATTATAGTCCGACCACCTTCCCGATTTTTTTTCATATAACTCATGATTCTTCCACAGTGAATGAAATTTCAGACCCAGTTAAGATCGCGATGTTAGGTATTGCGAGTTCGCAGGCGAGTCCGCATAAGTGTCGATTCAGTTTGCTCGTACGCACATGAACTGCTCCTGCATGTCTATGGTGGCAGGCTTGAAACACCCAAACAAATATACTTTAAAATAAACGTGAAGCATTGAAAGACATTGAAATTGGAATCGATAACCATTGAGGTCGCAGGAATCATTTTGATAGGGCCATCATAAGGGGATTATTCTCCTATAGCAACTGACTCTCCAACAGACCTCTGCATTCAATCCTTGAACGTTCTTAATGCCAAGATCCGTGATAGTAAAATGGCTATTGTGTCGTCTAAAACTATACAGCCCGGCTTTATTGGTTTTACAACGTACTACTTCCATGCGTCTCTTGCTCATGTGCATTTATAACAATTTTTTATCATCACTACTTATGTACTAAAAATGGATAACGGCACTTCTATGTTCTAACACATTACAACTGCCCATTACAAATGACTGCAATTAAATATGCATCTTTTCGAATTAGAAGTGGATTCGAATATACGTATTTATATCTAAACTGTGTGGTCAGAACTGTAATTTATTTTTATTATGTTCTTCACTCTCAGTTCTTGCGCACTGCTCCTTGAGCAACGTGTGCAATGACTCGGTGTGGCCAAGAATCTCTAAAATGAACTTGGGTAGCAATTTGAAGGTTGGAATAGAATAGGGCCTGCAAACTTTTGAAAATTTTGGTTGAAAGTTGGCAACTTGACAGTATTGTTTAGAATCGGCAACAGGCCAACATGGTCATATTAAATAGATAACACCACAATATTATTATTATAGAACCAGTCCAATTCCTTAAAGCTTCATTTTGTTACTCAATTCGATGTGGACCGACTTATTACCATTAATTACCCATGAATAACATTTCTGAAATGGTTAAAGTCCTATAATCTACTGGCAGTTTAATCCACACTGCATTGCAAAACGCAGTGTCGCATTTATTACTAAAAGGGCAGTTTCCATTAAAATTAATTCTTCTGTCGTAGATAATTGAATAGATACTTTTTATAAAACATCTTAAAAAGTTTAAAAGTTGGCGAAGGGTTTACCGTGAATTATTTTGAACCCAATGTATTTCATAACACAGTCTAGTGCATATCGTTTTCAGAACAATTTTCTCTGCTTCCCTTTGAGTCCGCACTCATTACTCAACGAAATCGGCGATGTTATGTCCAAATTGCGATGCACATTATTGCGGTTGCGTGGGTCATTCTGAACCAATTTGCTGCTGCAAAAGGACGTATCAATGCTACGTGCAGGAATAGTGTGTTACCATTTGGACGATAGAACCCATTAATTTTCCTTAGTGTATGTGTGTGCGTATCACGTTGTAACGCTTTAACAGAAAACCAGCGAAAATTAATACCGGAAATGTTATTCCCACTGCAAAGCGATTAATTACCGAGGTTGTTAATAACGTCGAGGTCAGATTACAATTGACGGAGTTGTGAGTGAAGAATTCTTACTGGCTGACCGACGCGACAACTGGCCCCAAAATTGGTAAATTTGATAGAAACAACGTTGGAAAAAACTCGTCTTTGCAGAGATTTTTTGAATTCCTTTATTAAATTACATTTATAACAGATGATGACGACAAAAGTTTGGCCTACTGTTTCGTAACGTAAACGGAAACATCCACGGACTGCGGCACGCATGTCAACACGAACTTTCGTGACTGTAATTCGTTAACTTGATGAGTAATTAGATAGCGTGATCACCACTTTGGATCAACGATGGGTCGTTCATGACGCCATTGCGATAAAACATAATTTAGCGATATTGTTATTTTATTTTGTATAATCACACAGGTAAAAATATTTATAATAGGAAAAAGTTATTTCCCGTGGGGTTTTTGGAAGTTCTCTTGATGTTGTGATTTTTTTATAAGACTTTTCTAATATCCATATTTTCCAATAGAGATAAATATTATGCTCGGGGAAGAATAAAAACTTACAGTTATCTTCATTATACTTTATAATACAGTATACAACACATTTCATTACTCGTAAAACATAAAAACTTTTTTATTGACTATAAGATTTTTACATTCATTGGAGCCATGAGGGATATATTACCAGAACTTAGAGTGCAAATCTGTCAAATGAATAGCAAGTAACCATACGCCCTGTAAACCTTCAAAGAAGTGCAGTGTTTTCACCAGTAGGTAAAAAAATTCATTTTTAATTCATTTATTAACAAAAAAACTGCTTATGAATGAAATAATAAATTTTTAAGATAAAAAAATTCCTACAGAAAAAATTCTAAGTGCTCATTAAATTTACTACGTGAAGAATTAATTTCATTATAGGAGAATAATTTTTGAAGTGAAGCAGAGGTAATCATGGGAAAAAATAGTAGTTAAGTAGAACAGATGAGTAGAAGTGTTGTAACTGGCAATAGCGAGGAACGTAACGAGTCTATCTAATTCGAGTACTAAACACAAATGACTATCATCCACACTTTATCCACATGCCACGGTAAATTCCTCAGGAATATTCACGACGGCGTAAAAATTTATCCATATTTTAATTGAAGTGAAATATTCATGCGCACGAAGCGTTAATGTCACATTCACGCTTCTGATGGCTCAACATTAACATCCATGGGCCATACTTTCAAAACTCGCTAAGTGAACGTAAGTACTTACGCTCTATTTTCTTGTCTATGATTGGTGGATTTTGCTTGAAAGGCCGTCGATGATTGGCTGATGAACTTACGATCTCTTAACTTTTTTTGAAAGTATGGGCCCATGAACATAAATTCAGATAAAATACTATGCTCATGAGATGCTGCACCTGAACATAATAGAGATCAGACAATTGAAACTCTATATTGAAATGAAAATCAATAATTTAATGCAATCTGTTTTTCAAATAAAAACTGAGCGATAATGACAAATAATTTGCAGGTTTTTCTTTCCCAGCATCATGGACGATACTTTTGGAATTTCGAAGGGAAAAAGTATGTAATATGTATTTTAAGTGAAAAACTTGATTGGTACCTGGCGAAAAATAAATTTTCGCAAAAAAATCGCTGAGAAATTTGTATTTGTGAGACGCGCGTCACAGGGAATAGTGAATATAAACCCTTCACCACACTTCACAACGAGAAAAATAAATGGCTAATGTTATTAAAATAGTGAGACACTGTTTGGGGTACAGCACTTGGAGAGAGCGGACGTCTAAGCTTTGATACTTTCTTTGATACTTTGATACTTCACTTTGCTGGGCCAAACTAGGTCAAGATGACACATACAAAAGTGTATCGCTATCTGAAAAAAGATTGATTTTCCAAAGTGTTGGCTACCCTTAAATTTATTTTGAATTTTAGCATTAACGACCAAACGAAGTCTCGCGCTATAATATCAATTTTAGCACATTAAACGCGTTTGTTAAAAAAAAACGTACTATTCGTACATTCAGCACCGTATATGTACATATATGCACATCTAATTCCAGTATTTACACTCCAACTTTAGTGAAACATTTGTGAGTATCTAGGGCTAAACTTATGCTAGGTAGCACATAATTTGCTTTGGTATTTTGCTCTTTGTTTGGTTGTACTAAAATAATTTGTACAGCTTATGTACTGCAACATTGTACATAAATTACTCCGTAATATAACACATTCTAAATGAATATCAATATAACTAAAAAAATATATTTACATCGAGATAATAAAGCACCATTTAGCTATAGAAAGTAATCCTTTAAACATAATAGTTAAAAAAACTAAATTAAACTGAAAATTATTAGGAACTAAAAATGATATATAGATTTAGACTATTTTCACTATTTACTGCTATTTCCTTAACGTAGTTTCTTTAACTCCACGTATAGACAGACTAAGATTATTAACAATGGTACGTTTTGATTCAAATAATTTTAGCGGGAAATATCGGCTTAGAAATAAAGTTCTTCACAGCTAATTTGAATATACAAATGTACACAGTTCTAATACAGCTCACACAGACGTTGGGATCAGCCCTCTTGTATATGACACGCTCATGCCTTGTATCATGACTTTCTGATGCTTTGAATCACTTTCTTATGTTCTGTATCACTTCCTGAGGTCCTTTCCAGTTAAATTAAATCTTCGGTGTCACGAGACGCTATTTTATACAAGCTGACCAACAAATTGAAATGATTAAAGTTCATTTAAGTTGAGATTCTTAAGTTTCAAGCGAAATAAAGACGTATTGTATGGAAAAGATGATTAAAATCGTCGAATGGTGTATCAGACCTACAACTGTCAGCTCATGGTTTGGTAATGTTAACGGAATAACTAATTTAAATTATTGAATTAATTAAATTTAACAACAAAGAATTAATGCTCACTTGAATGAAACTGACTGTAATATAACTAGGAAATTTTACTAATAAATTGAAGGAGAATTTATTTTTCCTGTAACCATATAGTGTGATATTAATATATACTGTGACGTCTTATACTTATTATCCTCAAAAATGCATGTAGCCTTTAGAATTGAACCGTCTTCCTTTCGAAATTCTAGATTTCCTCAATGGAAAAGTTATATGGTAAAGTTATATGGAAAAGTTATATGGTAAAGTTATATGGTAAAGTTATATGGTAAAGTTATACGGTAAAGAGCACCACTCACTCATGGGGTTCTGGTAGGGGTTGAGGTGGTCAGCGAAAGAAGCAAAGAGCAGGGGGTGTGGGGGAGCTGGGGGGGCGCCTGGGGAATGAGATCCCCCTCCCGCACCCCCTCCTATGTAAGGGGGAGTTCCAGCCCCTGCAGCCAGAAATTTATAGTAAATTAAACATGTATAATAATTGAGAATTCTAGTTAAATATGCAATAAATGTTATAATTCTAATTAAACATGCAATAAATTTAATAATACTAATTAAATATACAATAAATTTAATAATTTTGATTAAATATGCCTTGATGAATTCAGCGCATTAAAAAATGAGGGCAGTTAAATAATGAGGTAATTTAAGGCTACCGATATTAACGCTAAGAAATCATTTCATTTATCTTTAGCGTTAAAAATGGAGCGGCAAACGGAAACCTATATAGTATACATTTTATTCAGCCGTGAGTGTTTGTGTTTAGTAACATATTACTTACAATTATTATTCAACTTCTATTTTAATCAATACACTCATTATTTAAATTTTAGTTCACTTACATCATATCGTCATCATTGCACTTATGATAATATTTCATCATCACATGATATTAGCAGCGATATCATCATTGCACTTATTTATCATTATATTTATCAGTATCACTTATTTATCATTATTGCACTTATCATCATTATAATATTTCATCATTACATGATATTAGCAGTGCTATCATCATTGCACTTATTTATCATTATTTTTATCATTATCACTTATTTATCATTATTGCACTTATCATCATTATAATATTTCATCATCACATGATATTAGCAGCGATATCATCATTGCACTTATTTATCATTATTTTTATCATTATCACTTATTTATCATTATTGCACTTATCATCATTATAATATTTCATCATTACATTATATTAGCAGTGCTGCTCACCGTGCAGGAAAGGGTGCTGCTGTGGGTGCTGTAGTGCTGAGTGTGGGGGAGGTGCTGGGTGCTGGGGAGGAGGGGGAGGAGGGTGCTGGTGGTGGTGCTGCATGTGGGGACTCATGGTGGTCTGGCCAGGCTCCAGGTCTGACATGGACTGGGGGCCTGGCGTGCGGTAGCCTTCACTCAAGTCCAGCAGCATGTCGTCGTCTGCACGAAATGGCAGCTTTATAAATATATAAATGTGGGGATAATATATAATATATAAATAAGTGTTAATAATGTTATGTTGATAACAAGCGTGTTAAAATGTGATGATGATTTTTCTAGGTTAAATGTGCTGTTGGCTTATAATAATGTTGCGTTGATTACCTAAGGTAATAAAATGTGGCGTTGACTAGTATAAGTTGATTACCCAGAGTAATAATGTGGCGTTGACAAGTAATGATGCTACATTGATTACCAGAGGTAATAATGTGGCGTTGACTAGTAATAATGTTACGTAGGCTGCAAAAATATTGAAATATGAGGTCATAAGAGATGTCACGTTGGTTACACGGTAGGTATAGTAAAAGGGATGCTCCCGTTCGCAGGAAGAAATGAAAAGTTAAATTAAACATTAATGAATTTACAGAATTGTATAGATGCATTGACGATCATGTGTTGGCACAATTTTTCTTACACAATTCATAATTATGATCAATAAGTAAAATGAATATGAAGCTCTTTCTCGTCATTTGAGATGGGAGGCGTCATTTCCCAGGTTGCATACCAGCGTCATCACGATTGCATGAGCAGCGAACGCGCATTTCGTTTGAAAGCCACAGGGGCAAAAACACCCGGAACTAATTAAGTCACAATATCAATATATCGAAACAGAAGAAAAGTCAAGAAAATTTCTTATCGACTTGATTTAATCGAACTTTACGTCTTTTTTCTCGTTCATGTTATTTCCGAAATATATTTACTATTGTTTAATTTTTAATCCGTCAAAATCGGGCCCAATGAGAACAAAGAAGCTCTGTGCTAAAATTTGGACTGACATAAACAATGATTTCCTCGTTAAAATCACGATCTCCAATGAAAAAGGAAATTGTGGTTGAAGTCATAGAGTAAGAAAAATTGAAACAAATATCCAAACCGAAAAAATAAAATCTTCGTTAAATTCACTACAGAAAAAAAAACATTAATATCGTGACCTCCAAGAACAAAACGAAACCTCGATTAATATAAAGACCGGAAAAAATAAAGCGAAAGTCCCTTTAAAATCAAGACTTATACGTACAGTATATACACATATAAACCAAGAGGGCCAGTAAAAAGAAAACAAAATCTCCGTCAGGACCGACAGAAACATAAGGAAATTTCTGTTATATTCAAGCCCGGCAAAAACTGGTGCCGGAATCTCCGATGAAATCAGGATCGACCAAATCGCATTTGCCGGACCGGAAGCGGACGCGCTGGTGTGATGATCTTTGGCATCGCAGGTGAGGGGACGGCAGCCGGTGCTGCTCATGATTGTGATGATAATTGTGATGATATTGATGATGATATCGCCAGGCATATTGATCGCTGAGCGAGACTCATCATAGTACTGATGCGCATGACGCGGTCATGCGTTACATGGACTATGCGCTTTGAAATGCTAACCGTGATTCCGAGTTGCTGGATGCAAGCATATTTGCATGACTGCAGATAAATAATGAGTGGTGGTGAAAAAAGTATGATGAAATACTAACTCGAAGTATCTTAGTTTAATAGAAACTTAATTCTGAAAATATAATGGCCTAAAGGATTTCACGAAGAAAATTATTTTAAAAATACCATTCTAATGTTACACATTACTATAATGGTCGTGTGATAATGGGACGATAGAATGGTTTCGTATTCTAGCAATGATCAGGTATAGATGAAAACTCAAATGGCAATTAAATGATTAATCTGCAAATATTTTATTATAGTTTAACCTCGGTTAATTTGTTTATTCGAGAATATGTCCTCGGTACGTCGTTCGTGGCGAACTTAATTTATCGTATCTGCTGCAAATGGACTCAAATTTAATATTAAGCGGGGTTAATTTAGAATTATTTATTTAAGATACACTAAGTTACATTCATCATTGAAAATAAATTAAAAAAGAATTATGCCCGTGCAAAATGAATGTACGAATTAATACTTTTAATGAATTATGTGTACTAATATACGCGATATACGTATAGGAGTATATATCGCGCATAATTATCAATGTTTAGGCTTTGTGCTTTTATAACATTAAACGCGTATATAATCAGTGTTTTTTTGTGATAATAGACGAATAGAGCTCGTATAATCAGATTTAGTGATAATATACGAATAGAAAACGTATAATCAGTGTTAGTGGTATTATACGAATAGAAAACGTATAATCAGTGTTAGCGATAATATACGAATAGAGCGCGTATAATCAGTGTTAGTGAAAATATACGCATAGAGTGCATATAATCAAGCGCCGCACGCCTATAAGGCGCACGCGTCCTGAGCAAAAAGGCGCCAATTTATGACGCGGACGCAAGAAACTCGGAATCGCGGCGGCGACATCGATTGTGACCAGCGGACCGCGACGCCATTACGGCAGCGACGAGCAGCGTCCTGCTCGTTGACTCGTATCTGCTCACGCTCGTTGACTCGTGTCTGCTTAAGCGCTCGTTGACTCGCGTCTGCTCAAGCGCTCGTTGACTCGCGTCTGCTCACGCTCGTTGACTCGTGTCTGCTCGCGCTCGTTGACTCGTGTCTGCTCGCGCTCGTTGACTCGTGTCTGCTCGCGCTCGTTGACTCGTGTCTGCTCACGCTCGTTGACTCGTGTCTGCTCGCGCTCGTTGACTCGTGTCTGCTCACGCTCGTTGACTCGTGTCTGCTCACGCTCGTTGACTCGTGTCTGCTCACGCTCGTTGACTCGTACGTACGTGTCTGCTGATGAGTTGATCCATGTCTGCTCGTGCTATTATTAATTTTGACTCATTTGTGTTAGGCATTATTTTTAATCCTGTCGTTTAATTCGGTTATTGACTCGTAGTGATTGTAGAGTCATGCATGCCTGTGGCCTTTATTATCATGTCTGTTCATATCATAATTGTTAAATCATACTCCTTAGGACCTTAGCTCATATGCAAATTATTTCAGATGTTGTTTTGATGAAAAGTTTGCATAGACATAAACCTCGATCTGCTCTAGCAATCAAGCCATCAAAGTTTGAACCATTGCTTTGTATTACTTACAAGATTCATGCAACTTTGAGAACACAGTTTTTTTATTGCAAAGCCCATGTCCTCAATACGGACGGAACTAGCAACTTCCTCAAATCAATAGAGCATTTCACTCTGGAAAGAGCATTCAGGAATGTGCCGCCGATCCTGGGAAAGGAAGGCATTTGTGGGCAAAATTTGTAGGCAACGTGGCGTAATCCGCACATAAATTTACACCTTACGGTCTACGAGTTGCAAGAAATCCGTGAATTTACGGTGCATGCACGACGCCGGAAACGTGTTGTGCTGGCGCGCATCACGAGGCCCACTGCCGCTGCAATGTTGCCATCGATCTCGAGCTGCGCGGTCGCTCTGGCTCAGAATGGGAATTGCACAAACACTATGGAGATTAAGTAAACTTTTTAGGATGCTCATTTCTTTCAAAATTTTGTATTAATCGTAGTCATTGTCATAGGCTACATGAATAAAATACTTTTGATTAACATTTATTATCGCGAATGTTTCTTATCATTGAGGAATATAGTGCATTGAAGTTATTTACATTTTTTGCATATATGTAGCAATGTGTGAACAATATTTTTGGAAAATTTTGAAATAATCTTATTCAATATCATATAAAATCAGATTATCTCGATTAACACTCAATTCTTTTCAATATCTTCTATTAGTGAGGGAGATAATTTATAGAAGTTTTTCAGATTTTTCGCCAATATGTGGTGATGTATGAATAATTTGTTGTATGATGTATGATAATGAGGTATGTGAGGTATAATAACGATACATCACTCGAGTGAAGTATCGTTATTATACCTCACATTACTCTATATAAACTCAAAAAATTGAAAGTCATCGCCCAAATAGTGCCTGAATGACTCATAAATGACAAACAGTGTATCGCTATTTGGACATCTATTTGCTCATTTTTCTGAGTGATAACAAGTAATGTGAATATTTAGATACTATCGGTGCTGCACGGCGAAAAAATAATAGTTGTTACAGTGAAAACAGTTGTGTTCTATTTTCATTTTTCAACGATTCAAACTCTGAATGTAATGAGCAAAAACATGGTATGAAAATATGTTTTAGACTCATAATAACAGTCGTTATAATTTTTCTGCACCAACTGGAGACATAAACTTTAAAAGGTTAATCAGAAATAATCAAGAAATAAATTATGAAGCAATCGCGAATTCTAAAGCTTTTTAGATTGGGATTGGAATTTAGATTTCAAAAATGCTAGAAGTAGAAAAGGTTACTTAGCAGGGAATTTTTTTCATCAATTTTTTGTTAGCAAGCTAGGATTTTAATCATAGAAATCCCGCCCATCCGCTGCTGCGCTGCTTGCATCAATACGAGAGGAGAAACTGTTTGAACTATACGAGGTTTGCATATATTATTTAGGAACAGCTGACTGCAATTGAAATCATTTGCGGCGTTATCGTTCTAAATAACATTTAACAAATGTTATAATTCATATTAAGAAACCTATGAAAGATTATGGACGATGCATTTAAAATAATCTAAGGACTCCACCGCCGCCTTTTACACCACGGTCTGCCACTTACCGCCCTACGCCCGTTTTCCCGCCTCTATACCTACGCCACGGTCGGCCCACGTACCGCCCTACGCCCGTTTTCCCGCCTCTACCTCCGCGTACCGCCCACTTCTGACGGGTTCGCCATAGATAAACACGCCCATTCATTGCTGTGCACGGACAATGTTTGACAATGAAGGTTGTAGTCGATAATTGCAAACACTGCCAAGCTCCAGAGAAGCACTGTCTAGTGCTAACTGACTACAATGTTTGGCTGATATAATCAATGTTTAATGTTATTTATGTGGTCTTCAGCTTGTTTATTTCGTATTTGGAACCATATAATAGAGTCATAAATACTGGAAATGAAAAAAAATGAAACTCAAACGAAAAATTCACCACGTATGTCACATCACTAATTTTCGTTTTTAATAACTACGTCTCTCCCCTTGAGCTGTAACGTCTATAAACTGCTATACTTTCCTCCCCACGAGATGTAACGTATCAATTAAAAAATTATTTATAAAAATATCCGCCTTATCCTCCTTCATCATCTTTAATAATAATGAACTTGTATCGTCATATGAGCTTCTTCTCAGGTTTCGTATTTAATTAATACATTCATGTCATTTATACATTAATATTTAGACTTTTAGAGAAACTATAAATTTATATACATTAACTTAAAAATATTACGTTTTCGCGCGGTTGCAAAGATGTGATCGCTTTCCTTCAAGTCTTAATTGAATTGTTCGATATTATATATTTTTAAGCTTCACAGTACATTTTATGACTTTATATCCTACGAAGGAAATCTACTCACGTGCATCCAAGTCGACCTCCGAGTCGGCCTTATCGTCCGCCTCCCTGCCGCCCCTGCCGTCCTTGCCGGCCGCCCCCCTGCCGCCCCCGCCCGGCTTGATGCTCCTGAAGTACTGCCCCCAGCGCGACCGTCCCGCGTCCTTCTTCAGACGCTTCTCCTTCGCCCGCCTGTCCAACAAAGTTGGAATTTTCGAAAACATTCGATATTATTTAATACTTCCGGGCATTTGACGTATAAATAACGTCGATTAAACGTTGTTTCAACGTCATATGACAGGAGGCTTTAGTCTAGTGTAACTGAAGTTGAAGTTTTCGTAACAATTGGATATTATTTAATACTTCCGGGCATTTGACGTCTAAATAACGTCGATTAAACGTTTGTTTCGACGTCATATGACTGGAGGCTTTAGTGTAACTGAAGTTGATGTTATCGAAAAAATTCTATATTATTTAATACTTCCGGGTATTTGACGTCTAAATAACGTCGATTAAACGTTGTTTCAACGTCATTTGTCAGGAGGCTTTAGTGTAACTGAAGTTGATGTTATCGAAAAAATTCTATATTATTTAATACTTCCGGGTATTTGACGTCTAAATAACGTCGATTAAACGTTGTTTCAACGTCATTTGCCAGGAGGCTTTAGTGTAACTGAAGTTGATGTTTTAGAAAAAATTCGATATTATTTAATACATCCGACAATTTTACGTCTAAATAACGTCGATTGAACGTTGTTTCAACGTCATCTGCCAGGAGGCTTTGTGTAACTGAGAAGATTCTTGTGCAGTACATATCCAACTGTTTCGAATGGAATATTTCACAATTGCCTGTAGGCAAACTCACGACACTGTCTGCATATCTCTTATGTGCACTCTAACAGGCTTACTTCATTATCAGCCTCGCAAGACTGTCTAAAAATATGAATGAGACTCTGAGTATCTTAGAATAATTTTAATTGGTCCCAACATGGATTAATCTCACATGATGCTCATTGAAGAGCTGTTAAGATCACATATTTGGCTTAATAAGACTGTTTGATATAGGTGCAGTATAATAGTTTCCGTTAATGTTCAACATCACAGTATCGTTTGTATACCTGGAGGCCATGTAACATACACTGACCTGTTTATCTTGAAACGATTATTTGTTCATCTTAAGTGCAGTATAATGGGCACCATCAAAGTTAACCATTACAATACTGGGTACATATGATGCACAAGGAGACCTTGGCGGACACTCACCTTGTTAATTGACTTCATAGTGAAGTAGCTATCGATGAAAAATTTAATGAATTTACTTGAAATTTCCCATGTTTTTATTGCACTGACCTGTTTTGGAACCAGACTTGCACGACGCGCATGTCGAGTCCCAGCGTCTGTGAGAGCTGTTCCCTAACATGTCTGGCGGGCTTGGGGCTGTCTTTGTAGGCTTGTTTGAGTTGTTCCAGTTGGCGCGCAGAGATGGTGGTACGGGGACGTTTGTTTGTCCCGTCGCCGTCTACAAATGACCCGTTAAATTTTAATTTATTTCTCTCGCTTCTAGCTAGAATTAGAAAAATTAATGCTAAAATAATGTAAGAATAATGGTGTTTCTTATAGTCAATTTTGAACAATTCAACGACATTGGAATAACGTGATTAGTTAGTACGACTATCCTGCTGCTATTGCTATCAATTTGTCACACATTGAATTATAAAGATTGGTCTAACCAAGTAACGACAGCTTTTTAGCTAAAATAATTAGTTATGGTTATTCAATTCTCACTGTAATATATACATAAATTTAATTATCTAAAATTGTAATGTGGACAAATGAATGTTTCTCAGCTGTTTTTTTCCTTATTAAGATTTGCATTTTGAAGAATATGCGAGTTTGCCCATTGCTCAAAATTAAACCTATCAAGGTTTTTGTCAACCGTTATTTAATTTTTATAATAAAGTCAACATTCAGGAATCTTGCGGCTGTGCAACAAGAACTTTTTTAAGCGATAATTTTTAATAAGAGATGTAAAATCGCAAAAAGTTTGAAATGTTAAAAAACGTGCGGCGAATGGCCTTGGATGTAAAATGCGAATAAATGGAAGAATATATAAAAATGTATAGAGGGAATAAAAGCATGCAAAATTGTACCTGGAATGTTGAACAAGAGGAAAACATTGTTTACTCTACTTATAAGTACAAACAAAAATTATTTGGTTTGACTTAGTTAAAGGTTCAGAATGAAGATAAGATTTTTGAACCATATAAAATTCTTCAACAACATCATTAATAAATGTATGAAATTTCGTTTGTTATATACACTCTCGACATTCTAATCATAATCAAGACATTCCAAGCGCAATATTGATAAATTCGAAGAAAATCCATTGAAAATACGGATAATAATAATGTAAGAACAAAGATATATAATAATTATATATCATGCAAAAAATGTACACTCAAACGCACATACACACATTCGCATGTACAGTAAATGAGGGTATGACATCCAGGCAAGGGGATATGAGGGCATCAGATTCAAGGGGTTATTTGTGGTACAGGGAGGGGGTTGAGGGCTGGCATTACAATAGCAGCAATATAGAATTAAGGGAGGGGGAGAGAGGCTGCTCATAATATAACAAATTCCTCTACTTTTCTTTACCTGCGATTCAAGATTTTTGTAGGTATCATTGCATGTACAATATACATTTGTTATATACGTTCTACCATTATTAACCATAATCAACGCAGAACGTCTGCAAAATTTCTTATTTTAAACTACTTTTCATTGAGGTACGCGACAACAATTTTGGACAAAATTGTTTCTATACAAATCTTTAATTTATCAGAACTAGTTCCAGCCAACGATTAACAAATTAATAACTTTCTTTTAACTGTTTAATCTTCTTTGAACTGCTTTATTGACACTGCCGGTCGTTAAAAATCACAGAGATAACAGCTTTAAAATGTATTAATTGTCAAAAAGAATGATGACTATTTTGCAATTCAATTAACATAGTTCAAAAAAATATATGAGTTATTTCGACTGCTCATGAGAAAAGTAATATCGCTGAGACATCGCAACATAGTAAAATGGTACATTTGTCTTCCGTCTATGAAGATTACATTAATTGAGTCCTATCAAGTTGAATATAACGCTTGAATGATGCCTTGTCTTTAGTTTGGAACTAGCACCTCACTCATCCACCTAACAGCAGGACGCGCTGTCACTGAACAACACAGAATTTTCGGTTTGATCGAGATCTGCAAGCAGGGCTTACCGACTCTGCAAAGCCTGCAAGTCTTAGAGCAGAGGTTGGCTCAAGTATAAACGCTAGATTTGAAATAGAACGCAAGCTCTGCAGAGGCCTGCAGGTCTAGTAAATTATATAAGGATCTCTGAGAAATTGTGGTCCCAGAAGCCTTGCAGACCAAACGAATTTCGTGAGCGTTGCAAGGTCTACAAGTCTAGAAGACACTGCAAGCCTTCGAACTGCTGGTCATGCAGACCAGAAATAAATGAAAAACCCGAAAATCTTGCAAGATTTGCAAGATTTTAAGGCATAGCAAACCTGGCAGGCTTTGCATGCCTTGCAAGCATTGAAGGCCCTGCAAGCCTTGCTGGTCCAGCTTACCGCCTTGCGAGTAGTGAAGACCTATTAAACCATGCAGGACCTTCACGCTCTGCAGGCATTGAAGACCCTACAGATCCCACAAGTACTAAATAAAGACCCAACAGACCTGCAGGCCCTCCCGCTCCGCAGACATTGAAGACCCCGCAGATCCAACAAGTAGTAAAGAACATAAAGACCCAACAGTCCTTGCAGGCCCTTTCACACTCTGCAGGCATTGAAGACCCTGCAGATCCCACAAGCACTGAAGACACAACAGGCCCTTCATATATATAGTCTAAACGCATTGAATACCCTGCTGATCCCACAAGCCCTGAAGACCCTGCAGGCCCTGCAGGCCTTGCAAGCCCTGCAAGCAGTCCGACAAGACACGTACCTGTTCTGAAACCACACTTGGACGACCCGCATGTCCAGCCCGGTGTCAGAAGCGAGTTGTTCCCTGACGTGTCTCGGTGGTTTGGAGCAGCCTGAGTAAGCTGCCTTCAGCTTTTCCAGCTGACGAGCATTGATTGTAGTTCTGGGCCTCTTGCTGCACAAGTCTTCTTCTGTACCCACCGACCGAGCCATGGGGTGCATATAACGACCGAATATCAGCCACGGAGACCTCCCAAACTTAGGCTAATGATGAGCGCGCTACTCCTGGCGGTATATGCTGATATGCTGGCCGCGGCTGCATGCGGCTCATGCTAGAGTCCAGGGGCCATACTTTCAAAACTCGCTAAGTGAACGTAAGTACTTACGCTATATTTTCTTGTCCATGATTAGTGGATTTTCCTTGAAAGGCCGCCAATGATTGGCTGATGAACTTACGATCTCTTAACTTTTTTTGAAAGTATAGGCCCAGTTATACCAGTCCTTAATTAAGTCAGCGGTTCTTTGGTCACTGTGATCCGTCCATTTTTAAATAAGATGGTAGTTTCTGTCAACCTATACTGAATGTGCCTATTCTTTAACGTCTGTTGTTGCATTCCTGTTGGCTGTAGACACTCATTGCTGTGGCAAGTCAATTAAAGTATATATGCTCGATGGTATATATATACTTGACATAATATATACTGTCGGTCTCTGCTACTTTTTGTGGATAATCTCTAGAGTTATAATAATGATTCATACTTTCTTTTCTGTTGTATGGATACTGTTGCTGCAGGAGCTTTTCCATTATTGTCTGCTTTTATTCGGGAATTGTTCAAATTCAAATGTGGCTTCTTGGTACAAGTATTAATTTTTTCCTTTAATTATAAGATGGCAGTATGTTTCAGACGATTGAGGTGCCTCACCGAAAAAGTTTTCTTAACATTCGCCACGTTCGTCCGACTATTAATGATAGTGTCATTCTCTAATGGTAACTTAGTCACAAATGGTCACGAGCAATCCATGATTGCAAATAAATAAGAATAAATAAAAAAATAATATGACTAAATAAATAAAATAAAGTTTTATTTTATGTGCTCTTTCAATCCGCATTTGTTTGATGTCTGTCAGTCCATAGATGCCCATGCATTAATTGTCTTTCAGCAATAAACTCTTCAATAACGAATCTTAACGCACAATTGCCAACAGTATCAAAATAAAATGGCATATGTTGTGCCATTATCATGATTGAATTTTGTCCACCAGTACCGTGATCGCATATTGTTTGTCAATCAATTCTCTTTTTTATTTCAAATCAATGCAGGCAAAATTTTTGTCAATTTTTGACTTAATTTAGAGATTTTTGAATGTACATTTCCTCATCGCCTGTCGCTCCTGCAAGTGTCAAATCGAGATTGCACGTCGTCAGTCTATGATGCATTTAATGTATTGATTAATGTTTAAAAGTCAACAAATGTTTGTGTATGGTTTTCTATATTATGTGGGCATATTGTCAGTCAGTCAAAGCTTTCAGTTTTATAAAACTTTAATATTGCATTACGTTTGTCAAACTTAAGGGGCTGAAATTACTACGTCGGTCAATCAATTCTGCAACATTGTGCAACAATCATAAGATTGAATGTTTTCTGCATCTCTTGCCAATCTCTGACACTGCATCTTGACTTTTAATCTACACCTGCTGTGCTGTGTACTGCATGTACACAGCAGTGTACGGTTGTATTTGTACTACTTAGAACTACTTGTACTCTTACACAGCAAGTAGGTGCTGCCAGCTCAGCTGGCGTGAGGGGCAACAGCGTCCTATATACATTACGCAGCCTTTATCAGTTAAATTACGTACGTTGCTACCAACACACAATATAGCTTGCATTATTCACTGCACGCTCGAAGCATATGAACCTTCACACAAATAATCAAACATATCTCTTTAAAATATATGTGTTTCTCTCCACATATGCTCAATGCACTAATCTCACTTCCCCCTGTAGGCGCTTCCCTCATTCCCCTATACAGAATAACCCTCACTTCATACACACGCGCCTGTACACATGTATACATTTCTGAATTTCCTAACACGCATTTCCAGAGACATCTCTCTCCACACTAGCGCATTTGTCTCTGCGCCGTCAAATTCTCTCCACTCTATAAGCGCGTCTGTCTCTGCGCAGTCAAATTCTCTCCACTCTAGCGCATCTGTCTCTGCGCAGTCCAAATTCTCTCCGCTCTAGCGCTTCTGTCTCTGAGCAGTCAAAATTCTCTCCGCTCTAGCGCTTCTGTCTCTGAGCAGTCAAAATTCTCTCCACTCTAGCTCATCTGTCTCTGCACAGTCAAATTCTCTCCACTCTAGCGCATCTGTCTCTGCACAGTCAAATTCTCTCCACTCTAGCGCATCTGTCTCTGCACAGTCAAATTCTCTCCAATCTAGCGCATCTGTCTCTGAGAAGTCAAATTCTCTTAGCGCATGTCTCTGCACAGTCAAATTCTCTTCACTATAGCGCATCTGTCTCTACGCAGTCAAAATTCTCTCCGAATAAATTGTCTATTCCTCCACACCTCTTTCCACACGTGGACATGCATCACACTTATACCGCACTACACTATGCATTCCTTGCTCCACACATAGACACAGAACATCACACATAAACCTCACACAGAACATAACACAGCCATCCGTCAATTTACTCACCCGATTAACTTCACACAAACATTTCATACAATCACACACACACACTAACACAAACCACACAAATCTCCCCCAATGCACACATGTACGCCAACCCTTACTCTATTTGCACCCTCCCTCCCCTTCCTCCTTCACTATTGCAACCCCTCAATCCGAGGTGTAACCCTATTCAAAATCATGGGCGCAAATAGCAAGTAGTCTGAAATGTATTCCTCTTTCAAAATCCAATTGCTAATTTTTAAATTTAGATAATCAGTAATCATTTGAATTTTAACTGTAACTCTCAAACAATTATAAATATCGAACCCATTTTAATGGTCAGCAAAAATGTCGGCCTGTTACTCAGGCAGCTCGGAAATATAATGAACTGATAATAAGTGGACATAATTAGCTACTATCTGGACACCGATGACTCGCCCATGATTTAGCATAGGAAGACTCAAGTGTAGAGCACCGCAAGCTCCTTCTCGCTATGCACATTTTATAAGACCACCATTGTACGGCTCTGAACTAAAAGTAAGTGTTGAAATTGAACAAAAACAAGCTGTATATTCTCCCACTTAACGAATATTTTGTATTTCCAATTTGCCGAGAAATTCATCCCGCAAAACAGATATTCAGAATTTCCAGATATCCTGGAATATTCGACCAGTGCTGCGAGTGAGAAGGAACCTTGCGGTGGATCTTGGCGTGGCTCAGACAACCGAGATACTGGAATAAGCAGGCGAAGAATCCAACGCTAGAGGGGTTAAGTGCAGGCAACTGTGCAAATGCAGTAGTAACGAAAGGGGCAAATACATACATGTAATACATACCTGAACGACGTCAACATTACTCATATAATTGCAATTTTATAGGGTTCAGAGAGGACACTTTTATATTACTGTAATGTCTTGTTGGGCGAAGTCAACACATTTCTCATATGATCTCAATTTTATAGGGTTCAGAGAAGACACTTTTACAGTACTGTAAATTCTTGTTGGACAAAGGGAAAATGTATCATATAATTACAATTTTATAGGGTTCTGAGAAGACACTTTTACAGCACTGTAATGTATTGTTGGGCGATAACTCAATTCAACTTGACGAATAGAAATTAGGAAGTAATTACGAAAGATTGCTTTTCAGGCATGATCAACCGAATGAACCTCGGGAAGCACGTGATACGAATTGAATTGTGTAAATTGTTTTCTTCAGAGAAGAAAAATGTTTTCTACTCAACACGTAAGTCGCCAAGCTTTCATAAATATATATTATGTTTCGTAATTATGGCGTAGAAGAGATTAGCATGTCAGATAGGGCGGTATAGTCATTCCCTATTATTTCGATTTTCATACCAGTTTGGATATTTTAAAATTTGTGTTGTGATAATAATAACATTGCGTAAATATTCCTACTTAAGTGGTGATTATTATTACCAAATTGGGGAGATAACCGTATGATATTGTGGAGATTAATTGAAATGCAATAGCTCTCATGACTGCAAAAAAGTTTTTTAATTACGAATTATTAAATAATTTATAACTGAACGAATTTGTTGTATGAGATGATTGCGTTTGCGTTGCAATAAGATACCATGTTAGAGAATTATTGCAATCTTTCTTATCACGTAAAATGCCTAGTGCAATAATTGCTTATCGTATGAAAGTATCGTATCGTTCCGCCCTATATTCAATTGTCAAAGTCAACCAGGTGTGTTTAGTTCAAACTCTTGTTCAAACTTTGATACTATTATCCTCATCTTCTTCAGCAAAATCAGGACAAAATTTAGGCCATGTTCAAATTAAATAGTGGCCTCATGTTTAAAGGCAATGTTGTGATGCGGATAACTCAATTATAACACGATCATTCCAAGTAGAATTAATTGAGTTACACCAACTATAATATTTATTACCTAAACTCAATGAGAAGAAAATAGCGGTGAAACATCCAAGCATTCCGACTTGATTATTTGTGAAGGTTTCTACTGAAAATATGAGGATAAATTTCCTCAAGAGTTTATCTAATTGGAAAAACGAAGTAATGCTTCAAGCACTTATATAAGTTGTTCAAATCCTGTGTTTCCCAAGAGAGCAAAGCTCAAACACTTGTTTAATTTAGGCTGCTGGTAAACATTGACGTTATAAGGAGCTGAAATGAGTATATATACACAAGACGATCGATAGCAAAGAACAGCCTGTCATAAGTTTGCTATGAGAACACCGGCATCGATCGTCGGGCACCGTACACACAAAACTTTGCAGCGTCACGTTATATATTCATCGAATAAAAAAGTTACCCAGTATAGAAATTTGTGTTATTCCTTTCTGTATTTTCTATATTTATGTGTTATTCAAATGAGAATATTTCAAGTCTTTATGCGATATATTTATTCCTTTAAAATGTTTATGGAAATATTTCATTTTAATTTTTCGATTATCGCTTTATTTTGTTATCCGCAAATTCTGCGCGTTGCATCAGCGAGCGAAGTACGTATTTGACGTCACTAACCGTAAATGAATTTCATAAATTTCTACATAATTCATCGTTAGAAAATCCGATATTAAAAACAATTGGTTGCAAGTCATCAAAAATAAGAAGCGAATGATTTAATTTTGTTTCACTAAATTTATTATCAAATAATTTTGCCCTGGTAAATTTTTTGTTGAAATTGAATCATAAGTAAAACAACTAAGGCACTCGATAGAAAAATTCATCCGACTTACTTACGATCAATTTAGCGTGCCTCAAACTTGTGAAGAATCAAAGTCGGCTAAGCACCGAAATCAGTTGTGATCGATGGAATAGTTTCGGCTAAAGTTTATCACGTGAAGTTAGTTATGACTGAAGAAAATGCTTCACATAAGTCAAAATAATGGAATAATGCATTCCGATGCAAAACTATGCGTTGTCCATGACAGTCGGCATCAAAGTGAAAGTGCTACTTTAAAAAGTTTTACCATAAGTCAGAGGTCACCATTGCATTTTAATATAATACCACAATACCAGGAAAAAATCTATATGAATCTAGTACAGTGCACTCGTAGCGGTACTGCGTTCTTTATGTCGTGTTTTATGGCCAGGATGTGTAAGGTTATTTATTTTATTAAGTAATAGTGACATTATCTTGTGCAAAATCATAACTCTATTAGTGTTATCTTCCCATTGTAGAGCTAAAATTTAATGCTCTCTAGTTAACATAATTACTGTGTATATGAGTACACACTCATGTCAAGATTACGTGCAGTGCGGTCAGTTAGATTATTTAGAAGCTGTCTTCTTTTTATGTCAACTGTACAATTAAGCGCTCGTGCTCGGAATTGATGTCTATTGCAGTACATATCCATGTGAACGCTAAAACTCATGAGTATTCTTTATTATTTTGCGGAAATGAATGATTTTTAACAAGTGAATGCAAGCATAAAAGATGCTGTACGTGAACTAAAAGTAAAGTGTATACTATCCACTATCTATACTAGTCCCCATTCACATTATTAGAAACAGGTCTATCTTAAAAAAAATATAACTCAGTACCCACTGCAGTGAGAGACAGAGAGCGCATTTTCTCGTCGACGAAAACGTGAAGTCACGGACGAACAGACGGACGTACGGACGGACATGGCGAGCACAATAGTGCATTTTATTTTTTTTCATAAATGAGGAAATGCGCTAAAAAGAAGGCAAAGATTTATCTTTGTCGAATTTTGACTTATCGTTAGATCATAATGATATAAAGCCGATTTCTCTTCAACTACGTAATTAATGTAAGTAAGCAGGTACAATTAAATAAGTTGTTACAAAACTTATATCGTAAGAGGCCCCTAAACCCTCCCCCATGTACCAGGTGCGCATGCAAATATAGATGTTACAATCAGTGTAACGTTACAGTGTGTGAACAGATCAGTCTGAAAGCTGAAATTCTGATTTTCAGTGTACATATGCAAATGCAGTGCCAAGTGCCAAGTAATTTCATAAACAACTCATTATGTTCCTTGTACAGTAAGGATATCAATTAATGACTTCTTAATGTCTTCTTAGCGTAAAGCCAGAGCGAGAAATCTGAGTCAAAAAGCCAGTACTATAAGAAATATGTTTGTCAATAATGATTAGATGGATAAAATGGGTTAAATATTGCTAAACCATTATAGGAATATTTTTCATTCACCTTCGTAACTGAATTATCAGAAAAATGTCAATTAGTCGCATTTATAATGCAGGAAAAATGTAACTGGAAATAAAGAAAGGGAAACATCTACAGAAAAAACATGCATGAGCAAAAATATACGAGCATGAAAATGCATGGGTCAAAATATGCACACAAAGAATTTTATTACCGAAAAATGCATGAGCCAAAAAAGCATGAGCACAATATAGCATGAGCCAAAACGGCATGAGCACAATATAGCATGAGCCGAAACGGCATGAGCACAATATAAAATGAGCCAAAACGGCATGAGCACAACAATGCATGAGCCAAAAAGGCATGAGCACAATGCATGAGCCAAATGTTGTATGGAACGAGCAATGTTTGAGCAGGACAAGCGAACGATATATGTTTGTATACAACATCGAGTAAAGGCATACCCAACATATGGATGACATGGGTGTAATATATGTGGATGATATGGGTGTAACATATATGGATGATATGTGTGTAACATAAATGGATGATATGGGTGTAAATATATGGATGACATGGGTGTAATATATGTGGATGATATGGGTGTAAAATAAAGGGACGTTATGGGTGTAACATAAATGGATGATATGGGTGTAAATATATGGATGACATGGGTGTAAAATATATGGATGATATGGGTGTAGAATATATGGATGAATTTTGTGTAAAATATACCGATGACATGGTTGGAAAATATATGGATGACATGGGTGTGAAATTATGGCAACGAGGTCATGTAAGGGTCATATATTAATCCTCTTATAAATTAATTCATTTTCAGAAAAATGTATATTTCTCACTATTCAATGAGCATTTAGGAAAAATTACAGTCTTTAATTATAACGAAGGAATAAATAATTTACATTGATAAACTGAAAAGAGCGATTAAATAACGGATTTGATCTTGATTTTTTAGAAAATATGTGAACGTTTCACGCAAATAATAATTCTCATTAATTGAGAAACCACAGAAGATAAGATAATTGAATTTAAGCTTAATAATTTAAAGAATTAGAATTAGATTAAGATCGTTCTGAAGACTTGACAAATCAATAGGCGCTTGCGTGGGATATGGATGACTATATATAAAGGAATTATAAATAAATGTATGAGTAATTGAATGAATTGTGATAAAAAATTCGTTAATCTAAGGACCATTGACGAATTATGCACAAGATAACTTGCTAATATAAAAAATATTTTGATAAAATCGAAAATTTTGAAGCATTGGGGGAAAATGTACGCTAAGAACTGAAAAATAATAATAAAGAATCTGAATTGAACATTTTATAAAATGAAGATCGATTGGAAAATAAAAATGGAGGCTAGCAGATTTCCAGTAAAAGCACATAAAATCTAAATAGAAGCTCTTAAAATAGTGAAAAAAATTGAAAAAAATCAAATAAGATTAACAAAATTTCCAAGAAAACTGAATACGGGCAGAAACCAGCATGCAAAACCTAAAAAAATCATTGAATAATACAATAGTTGTTAAAGTTTATTACAAAAAGACAAGATACTAACCCCGCTGTTTCGCCTGCTCGTAGTCTGTCTTGCAGACGAGTTTGTTGTCCTCCATGAGGTAGAACTCGTCGCCTGTGTTCAGCTGGCGCTGGCAGATGATGCAGGCGAAGCAGTGCAGATGGTAGACGTTGTCCTGTGCCCGTCTCACCACCTGCGTGGGTGGGATGCCCTGGTCGCATCCCGCGCATTTCGTGCCGAACCTCCTGACGAGGAACGAGAAGCAAGGTCTTCAGGGGCCGTACTTTTATTACATGTTTATGTATAAGTAGCGATGCAAGTACTCGCAAGTACTCGTAGCGACCTAAGTACACGTAGCGACCTTAGTACACGAAGCGGCCTAAGTACACGAAGCGACCTAAGTACTCGTAGCGACCTAAGTACATATAGCGGCCAAGTACAAGAAGCTGCCTAAGTAAATGTAGCGGCCAAGTATACGTAGCGGACAAATACACGTAGCGGCCTAAGTACACGAAGCGACCTAAGTACACATAGCGGCCTAAGTACACGATGCGACCTTTAAAGTACACGATGCGACCTGAGTACACGAAGCGGCCTAAGTAAATGTAGCGGCCAAGTACACGTAGCGGCATAAGTGCACATAGAGTCCTAAGTACACCTAGCAGCTGAATTATGATCTGTGAGTAGCGGGCTTAGCATGAAAAGAGATTGATGGATGTAAGAACTCTTAATTTTTTTAAATATAATGCCCCAGCCATACTAACTCAATCTAGCCTAACGTAAAAATGTTCATTTGTTTAATGGTATATGATATACTAAGCTTGAAAGTGCAGAAAAGTTCCACTAAACTCTGCCAATTAATCCATCAGGGTACCTACTCTAATTTTGAAATAATGATATACACATTTATAAAAGAGCATTCGTTTTATAATACTTTCATTCGAAAATTTTAATAATCAATAGTCGTCTATTGATGCATTGAACCTAATTAGTTCTAATCACAATCCTGTAGGGTCATCGTGTCGCTAGGAGTGTCCCAAGATAATATTCAATATTCATCCTTTAATCTCCTTTAATTTGGCTCACCATAAAATAGAGAAAATTCCCGTCATGATTTCCTGGAAACCCATTTATGCATATAAAATTTTTAGCAGCTTGTGGTTTTGTCATTTTGGACCCAGGATATATTTTAAACGAATAAGAAAAATAATTTCTTTGAAATTCGTCTCTTTCAAGTTTTGAAATAAGTTTTTTTATCAAATATTGAAATGGGCGAATTTTAAATACTTATATTATGGTTGCCAAGCGTGTCGAGCCCAGGGCACTATATAAGTAGCCCCGTCATGTGATCTAATGCCCAGTGGCAGGAAGGGCTTCGGAAGTCCAACGTTACAGGCTTCCTTAGGGAAGACCTACCGCTTCCTGCAACGAGTTTATCCTGCGCCAGGAAGTGTTCCTGGACTTCCTACAACGATCGCGTCTTATATTTTGGCTTGCTAGTCATGAAAAACTATCACGAGTTCCGGCTGCTTGTTAGATTTTATTCTCAACAGATTCAACGAGCATTTTTGGTCGTTCATTCCACAATATTTACGTTTCTTGATGATGACAGGCTGGTCTCAGCAGCCTGCCTCACCTGAAGAAGTCCTCCTTGCAGAAGACCTGCTGGTCCCAGCAGCAAGTCTCACCTGAAGAGGTCCTCCTTGCAGAAGACCTGCTGGTCCCAGCAGCCTGCCTCACCTGAAGAAGTCCTCCTTGCAGAAGACCTGCTGGTTCCTGTAGAAGCACTTGTCGGTGAGCTGCAGGCCGCAGTCGCAGCACTTGAGACAGCGCGCGTGCCACGTCCGCTCCAACACCTTCAGGATGAAGCGGTCCAGGATAGCTTCGGTGCAGCCAGCGCACTTCGGGATCGTTGCTGCGAAATAAAGAAAAAAACTTTTATCTTAAGTAGTCGTGACGTTAGACCCATAATCATACGAACAATCAAAAGAGAAACTTTTATTCTACGTTGTCTCGAGGTTGGTTATTGTTGTCATGATCATTGTCGTGAAAAAATAAGAAAAAAGGCTTTTTATTATACTTAGGGTTTACGTTGTTGTAATCATAATCGTAGTCATGAAAAATCGAAACTATAACTTTTAATATGTATAGTCTAAATGTTGATAAAGCAAATCATGATTCAAGTGGTGAAGGGAAAATATTAACAAGGAGAATTGTTACTAATAATATTGGCACCAGATGCTAATATTAGTATACTATTATAAATTCTATACTAGTATTGGTACTATTGTTATCATTGTTATTAATAGTATCAGCATTAGGGTATTACTGGTATTGCTCTAGATATACCAAGTGATATTATAAAATATTATTACATCGGTTAATTCTATCACTAATTATTAGTAAATAATACTTTTGGGTTCTTAAATACAGAATGAAAGCAACTCTTGTATTCTTGTTATCATTTCTATAACTAAATTCTATGAGAACACAAATGACGTTATACATATAAAATTATAAATAATTTTATTCTATATAATAGTAAAATCATCCATTCCATTCTGGATCGTCGCTGTTAAATAAAAAGAAATGGGTTTAGATTATTAAACAATCGACAGAAAGAAATTGAAATCTGGTCCTCGGAAATCGAAATCTGGTCCCTTTCAGTATTGCCAATATTAGTCAAGAAATTAAATGTAATAGTCACAAATTTCAGCTACAACGCTTAACTGGTTTAAGAGTGTTTCGAATATTATCGGTGTCAAAAAACTACAGGTAAACAAGGGAAAATTTATAGAATTGCAAGAGGGATATCATTATTTTATAATAGTTTGTAAAATTGCGGGAAAACCTACGACGCTGGATAGCCGACAAGAGAAGGATGGCTGGACGAAATTTAGTTTCAAAAAATGTTATAATAAACAAATTTCTTTCTCCAAACTGCAAAACCGATGTAGCCAAGACGGAAATAAAAAAAGACTAAAATAATTAAATTACTAAAAAACTTTTTCGAACGTTGCACATATAGGGGGTACTGCTGCGGGAGGCTTTGAAAGTAAATTAAATGTTGGTATCAAATTCCGTAGACTAATTTTTGAGGGATACTTCCAGTCTAAATATATTGTAGTATGCTTTATACGTATTTTAGTTTAATTATTAATATAGCAATATGAAATACGATATCGGATGTTTATGTCATTTTGCTAACAATGACTCGAATTATGGGCATATATTAGAGTTAATTTATAACATATTGCAGGATGCTTATAAATACTTTCCATTTAATATAAAAACAATTAACTAAAATGACGAAAATATTTTGAAAACATATTATCAGCATATATCTTGCCAATCAAAAAAGTAACAGTAGCAGTAGCAAAAGATTTTTGGTGCTATCGCCAAAAAAAGCAAGTGCCGAACTCATCCAAAACCTCGCTCCTTTTCGTTACCGGAGGAATCAGAGGGCAAGAATGTGCTCGCCATAGCATCATCGCGCGTAAGTGCGCTAACCCAATCCTACGACAACCAAAAACTGCCTTAACGTGTCCAAAAAAACCCGGAACAACACCCGAGCAACATTTGCCGGCAACGAAGCATCGTTTCGAGGCAATTCTGGCTTTGTTGAGGGGCGGGGGGCAGCGTCACTGATTAAATGATGCAATAAGAGACTGGCATTGGGGCCATTCCAGCACGGCTATGAAGGCCTTTCTTGGCCGCGAGATAAAAACGTGTGGCTTTTGCAGCGCGTTGGGCGATGGCGGTAATGACGGTGGCTACAGGACGCTGCATTACCAGGGGCGGCATGGAGTAACATTTGCTTTTGGTTTGAGATGGGCGCTGGTTATTGGGGTAGGGGTCTGCAGAGATACTGGGGGGAAATTGGGGGACATGAGGGGGGATCTGCAGCGAACCTGGGGGGAAATGGGGGACATGAAGTATATATGCAGCGATACTGGGAAGGGGGAGAAATGAAGGCAGCAGGAATAAATACGCTCACGACGGGCTAAAAAACCTGAATTCAAAAATTTTTCTGCTTAAACAACTGAACAAATTTAGGTTTGCTAATAATTGTTGATGCTTCTCCTGTGTTTCAATATTGGTGTTTCAGGAGTGAAAACAAGTGATATTTAAAAAATGATCATGAATAGTTTACGGAAAAATTTGAATAGTCATGAATGACTTGAAATTTTTGGAAACAAATATGATTGCTCGAAATTTATGCTATTAAAAGGGAATTTTCAACGAAAAAATCGACACTCCAACTGGATAAACTGCGGAAATGTTTGATGAAAAACGTTATTTATGTTAAATAAAGAATGACAGAGAAATTACGTGGAATTTAATTCTATTCTCAAGAGGTAGAAGAAAGTTCAACCTATGCACAAAATTCTATAGTTACGAATTGACATTGTAAAGGTATAAATTATCATGCCATAGTAACAAATTTACAAAGAATGTAAAATTAACATACTAATTTTATATACCGAAATTAAAAATTATAATAAACTATATGTATTTTACTAGTAAACTGATAATTTTATAATCGTATTCACAGGTATAATAATAATTACATATGAAAAACAGGAGAGTGAAATTAAATTATTATTTATAAAATAAATCTGTGAAATTCGATGTTGAAGAAACAAGAAAATAAGCAGCTATTGGAGAGCCTAAAATTGTTGGAGCGTTTGATAGATATTAATTAATTAGGAGTTAAAATTAGCATTGGTTATTCCTTGGGAATATTTGATCGTATATAGGGCATAATTTAAAAAAAATTCCTTGATAAGCTTAAAATGTATATATTAAATCGTTGATTGCAGTTTATTTCCAGAGCGAAGCTGAAATATCTACGTGTATTATATATCTATATAATGAAAATATCGATATTTATTATGTTCATAGGTTAATGTTTATGCATAAGTGCCTGTTTATTGCAGCGGTGATGAACATTAATTTCACTAATTTTTAAACAGGCTAATGAAATTCAGTTGTGTAATTGCAGCGGTTACTGAATTTTGGTTAATATTTCTGCAGCGGCTCCTGAATTTCCGTTAATATTTTTGCAGCGGCTTCTGATTTCCATTAATAGTATTGCAGCGGCTACTGAATTTAGGTTAATATTATTGCAGCGGCTCCTGATTTCCATCAATATTATTGCAGCGGCTACTGAATTTCAGTTAATATTATTGCAGCGGCTCCTGAATTTTATTCAATATTATTGCAGCGTCTAAATAATTTCAGTTCGGTCATTCAACAACTTCCAAAGCCATTGGGTTCTTGAAGAATGCAATTAATATTTAAGAATAATTCTGAGCAAAGATACACCCAAGAGATGAGAGGAACTATTTGACGTGTTTATTGGTTACTTATGAATAATTATGGGTATAATTAATAATACTGTAAGGAATTAGTTATGACAAAATAGCGGTTATCCCGATTTTACAACTAGATTGCGGACCAAAGTTCACTAGGTACAGAATATTATAGTTAGTATATATATAGGGTTATTGACTCTGAGCTCCTATCCTCGACGAACGTCTTTCTCTGCTGTGTACCTTATTGGTACGGTTAAATGCTGTTGTAATAAACTATATTACGGAAGGGAGTGACATGTACCCTATGGAGGGAAGAAATCTGACTTGGAGAATATCGAACCTATTTCAAATGCTCATCATAATAAATAATAATTGGGGATGGGGATGGAGTGACACTCACACATGAGGAGCGGGTGAAGGCCGGCGGGGATGAGGGCTGTGCTGAGGTCTTTGCTCTCACGCACGAAGATGTCGGCAACCCCGACCATGGGGATGATGGGGGAATGGGGGGAGGAGGAGGAAGAGGATGAAGGTGGGGATGAAGAGGAACAAGAGGATGAAGACGAGGATGAGGGAAGAGGAGTGAGGGTTGTGTTGCCGTACAGTATCATTTTTTATGGAATTTCCGTACTTCTTTCCACTGATGCTTATCCTTTATAAATAATTATGGTTTTTCGATGGCAGCCCTAAAAACTCTCATTATTATAAATATATTTTTCAGCCTCAGTGAGTATGAATTGTCTTGTTTTGAGTAATGCTCGCCGATATTATCAGTACTTATTTCATCAAAAGCATTCCATGATAAAATAATATTTTTATATTATTTTTTTGAGCTAGAAAGTCGTTCACAATAAAGATATACAATCAACAAAGATATATTTCATTTCAGTTCCACCTGAAGTATGAAACAGATTTTCTTTCTCTCTGAAACAAAATTTGGGAAGTTTTTTTTAGAAATTTGTAAGAAAGAATTCACAGAAAAGTTATCCGATCATCAAAAACTTTTTACAAACGAAAAAGTGCAATCAATTTGCTCTCTCAAATTATGATGACACTATACGATCGGTACAGATGACCGCTGTGGGTGCATTGTACCATCATGCAGCTCCGTATCTCATACATTTAAACATAACATACTTTTAACGCGTACTTTTCTAGAAAATATACAAATGAAATTTATAAAATACGACTATACCACGCATCAGATTATGCACGTTCGTGTACTGTATAAAACTTCGTTCGGTGAAATAATCAATTAATGGACCTATCATGAAGCACTTCTCTGTTTAAAAGTACATTAATGGAGTACTAACACGTATAAAAGTACGTATGCGAAGTACTACAACGCATAAAAGGATATTTGCGAAGTACTATATATACGACCTTTAATTATAAGTTCATTTGTGAAGCATTTTTTTGAACAATAGAGAAGGTTTGGTCCTAACATCAATAATATCTCAATAGTTCTATAAAACCAAAAGGAAATGTGGTCACCAATTGAATTGAAAAAAATAAGAGGAAACAAGTCACTTTTTCACCGAAGAAACTCATGAGCGGCCACCAGCACAATATCACTGTCAACAAATAACTTATTTAATCACTTGAAATTCAGTTCCTATCATCTCCAGTTATTAAACTCACTAAAATATAGAATATAATTTTCCGTTACAAAAAAGTTGAATTTTTCCAATATTTTCTAAGTTATAATTCCTCTGTGACTGGTGAAATCCAGCGGGCACTGTACAGCAGTTCCAGCACCGCGCACGCGCAGCCTCTCGCCGCGGCGGCCAGGCCGGCAATGCTGCGGCACCTGCGCAGTGGCGAGCGCAGCGCCGGCGCCGCCCTCTGCGCCGACCAGCCCAACCTTTTGTTCCTTCACCCCAGGCTACCGAAATAGCTTTGAAATAATATAAAAACTATTTCCAATGAGTTTGCTTGCAGAGTAACTAGTAAATTGGTGCTGAAATATATATCAATTACAATGTACACAATAAAGTTTATACTGTTCAGCGTAGGTGCGGCGGAAAGGGAGGCGGTTTGCGGTCCGTTCCATGACATCCACCAATAAGAAGCGTCCATAATTCGAGCAACCAATGAACGCGCTGGGTTCGCTCTACTTCTTTTTAGTCATCTGCATAAATTATCGCTCCGGATCATAGAGCTGAAGACCGCACATATGTAAAATGTGCACTCACTTTCTTAATCAAGCTAATGTCTAGAAAAATCAGTCATACAATGTTGAGAATCACAAGTGAATTATCGTCGGCCAATTATAGCTTTTGGTCGGCCATGACTGGTTCTTAGTGCGTATTGAAGTTCAAGTACATGCTGCTAATATCAATAATTTAATTAATAGAAACAGTTAATTTGAAGATTCTTATACAACTGGTGCAGGGTAATAATGAAGTTCATGTTTGTGTGTTTAATATTCCAAATCGTTAATTCATATTAATATTCAAATGAAATTTTCAATAGAACTATTCAAACCTACTTCGAAACATCCGCTGTAACGCCAAAAATTACAAAGCACCAATGATTTAAATCAACTCCGCAATTATTGGCCTATCGCCTCACAGTAAACAGGAATACCATACCTCACAGTACGGCAGGAATACTACATCTCACGGCAGGAATACCATACCTCACGGCAGGAATACCGTACCTCACGGCAGGAATACCGTACCTCACGGCAGGAATACCGTATCTCACGGCAGGAATACCGCATCTCACGGCAGGAATACCGTACCTCACGGCAGGAATACCGTACCTCACGGTAGGAATACCGTACCTCAAATTACGGTAATTTCGGTTGACCTTTCCAGTTTGCGATGGCGGTGGATAGGAGCTAAGGTCTCGGCTGATTAATGAGGGGATAATGTGGCGGCCCCACGAGCTGGGGCTTGATTGCTGCCCCAGGACGCAGCTGCCCCACTCACTTGAATGTCACGTCCCCACTCAGCCAAGACCCCACTCAGCAATGCTCCCACTCAGACTCTACCTCTCAACCACTTCCTCATACGACAATCTCCCCACTCGGCCAACAATGTGATCATGTTCTTATTCCGTCACAACTTCACTTGCTAATTTCATCATTTAATAACAATGTCCCCACTCAGTCAATATACCCTCTCATTGAAGACTCCCTCTCTGCCAAGTCCCCACGCAGTTAAGATATATCATAGCTAAGACCCAGTCAGTTAAGACACCTCTAGCTGTTAAGACCCTTCTCAGTTAAGACCCCTCTCAGTTAAGACCCCTCTATGCAGTTAAGACCCCTCTCAGTTAAGACCCATCTATGCAGTTAAGACTCCTCTCTTAAGACCACTGTAGACCAAGTAACAGGTGCCTGGGCTTCGTGCAGGACGTACAAAAAGTACGCAGAAACAGCAACCAGAAATCTTAATCAATCTTAATCTTATCACATTCATAATCCATCTTAACATTTTTAATGGAGTCCTGAAATCCCTGCTCCCGGGCTTGTAGCGTACCTTTGTTATGAAATGCATTTATGCTGAGAGTTACTCAAGCAATTTTTTTGTGATAACGCAAAATTTTCCACACCATATATGGATGGAAATTAAAGGCCTTTTTTGCGCATTTTCTCATTAATGAAAAAATGCCCTATTGTGCTCGTCATGTTCGTCCGCCCGTCTGTCCGTGACTTTCACATTTTCGTGAATTTTAAGAAAATGCGCTCTCTGTCACTCACTGCAGTGAGTACTGAGTTATATTTTTTTAATCCCCACTGTTCCATTTTAGAAAAAAAGTGTTTTTCACATCACTATAGCCAACAACTACGTAAAGATAACTAAACACGCATTGCATGACATGTAAGGCGCACCACGCACTGCATGACATGTAAGGCGCACCACGCACTGCGTGACATGTAAGGCGCACCACGCACCACGATGACTTCCCGTCGCCAGCGCACGCGCGGCTTCACGTTTTCCGGTCCACGTCACGCTGCCCGGTCCACACGTCACGCTGCCCGGTCCACGTCACGCTGCCCGGTCCATGTCACGCTGACCGGACCGGTCCACGTCACGCTGCCCGGTCCACGTCACGCTGCCCGGTCCACGTCACTCTGCCCGGTTCACGTCACGCTGCCTGGTTCACGTCACGCTACCTGGTCCACGTCACGCTGCTCGGTCCACGTCACATGAACCATCGAAATGATGCATTCAGAAAAATTATGGGGCGGTTGTTCTCAAAATTGAACTGTTCGCCCTTGTGTGGTTCATCCTGATTCAGATTGGCCGGGCAAAAGAGTGTATCAGTGCTACGTCCGCTCTCTGATGGTGATGTTGTACGAAAGTACGTCATCATTTAGACAACAGCTCATTCATTCTTTGGGTGTTCTGTGCCACGAAAGTGCATCATCATTTAGACAACAACCCATTCATTTTTCCGAGTATGCAGTGTATTAGGCCCTAGTGAATAACATGCAGTTCAACGGCACCAAGTTCGAAGTAATGAGATACAGAGTCCGCCCAGAGATCGGGATGCCACATCGCTACTTGGCATCAGATGACACAGAAATTGAGGAGAAGCAACTAGTTCGAGATCTCGGAGTGTTGATGAGTACTGAAGCCACGTTCGATGACCACAGCGAGGAAATAGTTGCACGAGGGAGACAAAGGATGGGATGGATCTGGCGGACATTTCGAACGAGAGAAGCAGCACCAATGATTACACTCCTCAGAGCCCTCGTGTTCCCCAATCGTGAATACTGCTGTCAGCTTTGGGCGCCACTCAAGGCGGGTGCGGTGCGGAAACTGGAGGCAGTGCAGCGGACCTTCACGTATAGGACCAGCGGCATGAGGGAGCTGAACCTGAACTACTGGGGAAGGCTGAAACACCTGGAACTGTACTCACTGGAGAGAAGAAGGGAAAGGTATATCATACTGTACACTTGTAAGATGATAAACGGACTGGCTCCCAACTTTCAATGTGAGACCTCCAAAATTGTGACGTATTACAACGAAAGGAGAGGGAGACTGTGCAAGGTTCCCCCATTCAATAACCGTGCCTGGGCTAGAGTACAGACTCTTTGTGAGGAATTACTGTCCGTGGTAGGACCGAGGCTGTTCAACGTCTTACCAAAGGTGCTGAGAGGAGGGGATCGAGTTTACCCTTGCGACTTTCAGGAGACAACTGGATAAGTTTCTGAAAAAGATCTCGGATTGTCCAGTTATGGGAAACTACACTGGCAGCAAGTGACAAGCAACAGCATCTTGCATCAGCTGGTCCAAAGAGGGCAAATATACGGAACACGTCCAGCGTTACATCGATCCTAACCTAGAGGGCGGGATGACCTGCCTAGCGACGACTCGGAGAAGGAGGACGACGAAGGCGGAGCATCAGCTTGACCTGGGACTACGAAGTCCTAAACTCATCATAAGGTCATAAGGTCAAGTGCAATATTGAGTTTATCAGTCGCTTATCTGTTCGCGCTAAACTTCAATGAGGGCGACATAAGAACATATCCTCCACATCAGTTACATTAGTAACCTCAGTCACTCGGGGCCTCCGGACATAGTAACACGTACAGTCTCACGCGCATAAACGTGGGCACGTGTCGAGCGTGTCACTGCGCTTCTCACACGTATCCCGTGACACGCCGTGTATCCCGTGACACGCCGTGTATGCCGTGGCATGCGCTGCGTGTGGCGCTGCCACGCCGACGTTAAAAGGAACGCTTGCAACGTTGTCCTCAGGGACCACAGCGGTAACGCAATACCGCTGTAAATATTTGCATGGCTTTCCTTAGGAAACTTCGATACTCATCTTTCGACCACTTCATTAACCTTTACTAAATCAAAACATACTCATTACTAATTAATACCGAATAATTACTACCAAACAACTATAATATTCGCAATTTTCACCGTACCAACATATCATGATAAGAACAACGTT